ATTTCATAAAAAATATACATTTTCCATATTTACATATTCAGTACTTAAAACTAACCTCGATCTAAAAGTGGGCTTACGTAATAGGAATAGTCTAAAAAATAGAAATATAATTAGGGATTTTGAACAGATGACTTCTTAAGACGAGTATGCCACGTCAAAAAATAAAAGTCAGATACAAAACTTGAGTAGCATAATCAAAATAAAAGCCAAAAAATAAGAGGAGTGGGCTCACATAGCAAAATAGTGGGATCACCATATCCTTTGTTCCTGCAAGGAGATATTACTTTTGAATTTTACCGAGGTTTCCGTACGTTTTGAGGCCTAATTGGTAAATATACCGGGGTTTATAATATATAGATGGTTCAAACAACATGGGAAGATACAGTAAACACCCAAGACATTATGTTGTGCATGCACGTCAAGCTAGCTCCTCGGCATTAAAAGTATGGAGGCGTACACAGTTTAGTGAATGGAAACTAAGGAACGGCATTAAAAGTATGGAGGCTCCGTTAGCTTCGCTAAAAAAACAAGCTGAAATACTATTTCGGCTAATTTATTGTGAGAGAAAAACACTGTTACGATTGAAAAAACAAGCTGAAAAGTACGGATTATAAAAAAAAAGCGAACAGGGCCAGTCCTGTTAGAGCTAGAGAAGGCACAAGAAAGATGCCCCTAATTAATGACAAATAGAAGTGGAATTCAAGAAATATCTTAAGGCAAAATCAATGAGTCTGGCCGCAATACAGAAAGCAAAGGTGAGACAACACTCTCGACCGTCCTGGATACTGAAAGGAGAGACAGTACTAATACTCGTTTTTTTCCAACTACATGCAAACGCTAGGCGAAGAAAATTTCTCAACGTTGTAAAACAAAAGGTCGCTGCTGAGTTCTTCGCCAAAGCTGTAGGAACAAGAACAACAAGAACGCGGCCAATCAGTTGGGAGATGCTGAGTTACTCTCTGCATAACCCACTACGTGAAAAACGGTTTGTAACAACAGAACGAATTTTTTTGTAGGGGCGGCTGGTGATGGAGCCGCCCCTACAGTGACATGCTCGGGAGGCCAGACACCAGCTGTCCCTACAAATGGAAACAACAGGGACATGAGCTTGTTAGCATAATCAAGGAGCTTCCGCCGGAAAAGGCCCCAGGACCGGATGGTTTTATCAGTATTTTCTAGAAGCAAAGTTGGGAGACAATCAAGAGCGACAATCACAGAACCCAAAAATGCATCTATTCAATGAAGCAAATATAGTTCTGCTCCCCAAACAGGAACACAAACAATGTCTGAGTATAGACCGATTAGCCTAATTAACAGTCTCGTCAAAATCATCACGAAAATCCTTGCAAATAGACTAGTTCCATATATGAATGAGTTGGTTTCACATGCTTAGAATGCATTCATCAAGAAAAGGTGTATACACAACAATTTCCTTTGAGTGATTCAACTTCTGCAAAAAAAGTAGCCAACTCTCTTTATACATCTCCAAAGCTTTCAACTCCATAGGATGGCCATACCTTCTGGAAGTTCTAACTGTGTTTGGTTTTAGCACAAAATGGTGTAATTGGATATCAACAATCCTGAGGTCCTCCTCATCCAAAATTCTCATAAATGGAAGACCAAGTCAAAACATCAAAATATGCAAGATGACTGAGGCAAGACGATTGGCTTTCACCCCTACTTTTTGTCGTAGCAGTAAACTTGCTACAACAAATCATTGAATGAGCGACACAATACGGTATCCTACAACCGGTTCTACCGAAAGTAGCAAACTTGTGGTGCTCTCTCTACGCAGATGATGCGGCTTTGTTTGCAAATCCATCTTTAGAGGAGCTAAGCAGCTTACAAAAAATCCTACCTTTCTTTGGAAATTGTTCAGGGCTATGTAGAATTAACATGTCCAAGACCGATTTTTTTTCCAATATGGTTCCAACCTAACATGGTCCCTTCGCTCATCCACAACTTCCCAGGGAAAATAGTGTAGGAAAATGAGTACGCTACGCACCAGCACATCTACCACGTCCACGCAGGATAACATGCGAGTAGAAGGATCATGGATCGTTACTATTAGATGCGCAGCGTAGAGAAAGAGGAGCACGTCGATGTAGTGGTAGTCATACACATTCGTCGTGAACCTTACATTCATTGCCGATCAACACGGCAGCAGCGGCGGCGTCTCCACGGTGTCCACACTTACGAGGATGGAACACCGTGATGCCAGTGTGCTAGCACCGCGTGTGCAGCGAGTGGAAGGTGACGGCGGCGACATTTTGAGCGCCCGCAGCCCTAGGGGGGGGAGAGAGAGAGAGGTGACATCGGTAGCTCAGTTGTGTGGTGTGTGTGTCCCCCAACCCTAGTCCCTAGCCCCTTGCCTCTTCTATATGTAGACCACTGCAAATAGGCTTTTACTCTAAAGGCCCATTAGCATGGGTATGGATATGGATGATTGCCTCTTGGGCATATATTCAACAAATAGGCACCTTCCTAGGAAATTATTTTGGGCCTCCATTACATATACCGGAAATTAAGAAAGGTGAAGGTCCAGCTGGTAATAGACAAGATTGGTGCCAGGCTCCCGGGGTGGAAAGGAAAATTCTTGTTAACATATGGCAGAGAAACACTAGTAAAATGGGTTCTAACGCATTTGACAGTGTTCCAGGCGCAGAAATGGCTACTCAAAAGAATCGACAAGATACGACGTAGTTTTCTTCGGCAAGGAGAAACACCTGAGAACGTCATTGGAGGACATTCATTGATCAACTGACCCACCACTTGCCTTCCCAAAGCGTAGGGAGGACTAGGGATACTCGACTTAGAGAGGTTCACCGAGCTCTCCGATTGAGATGGTTATGGTTTAAGGGGAAACAAAAGGAAAGAGCGTGGAGCAATATGGAGATTCCTTGTGAAAAATCTGATCACGAGCTCTTCAATTCATCAACTATAGTCATCATGTGTTGGGTGAGACAATCACACAAACACCAAGTTTGAACACAAGCACATAAAGTTGTATTTATTTCATGATCGTATTGCACATGTCAGAGGGGGTATTTATAAAAGTCCTAGTCTTCATAAATGATACTCAAATGACTCTAATCCCCTCTTTTTAATATTACAACCCTTTTAAACTACAAGGGCAAATTCATCATTTTATCTTCGATAATCGATTCCTCAAGCTCTCATTCGACTTGAAATCGACTTCGTTCTCGTCCTTGCTTGCCCGACGAAGTCTTTACGACTTCGCATTCTCTTTTTCACAGAACAGAGTTTAATCTTGACTTTGCATCTTCATTTCTTCTGAGTGAAGTCAAGATGTAGTCTTCACCTATTGATCCTGCAAGCAAACTGTATATGAAAGTTAGTTTTTCAATTCCGAAGTTTCGGGACAAAGTTTTATAGCGAAGTCAAATAATCCCCAACACCATGCATAGGCAATGGAAAATAGCCTCTTTTATTTATTGACTTAAACTTGGATCAATGGAACATCGGCCAAGGCAGTTGCACCCTGTTACATCAAAAGACTCGGAGGAAAAAATCACAGTTGAAAAGCTATGGAAGACAATAGATGGATTGGCCATATATACCCCCAAAATATAATCATGGCGAGGTCTCAGATTCTGTGAGAGCAAGCCCAACAATGGGCGTATGGCCCGACAGGTCAGCACTGGGCATGAGCTAGAAGGGAGAGAAGGAGGAGAGAGAAGGGCCCTTGGCGCTAGATGCGTCGATCAGCTCGTCACTTGTTCCAAGAAAAGAAGCAGCTTTACAGTTGGGTAGAAGATGAGGTGGTGCAAAATTACTGGACAATAGAAGTTCATCAGTATAAAATTAAAATTTGTAGGGAATATAAAATAAGTGTAGAGACCAGTAAAAAGACCATTGTTGTATAACTTGTGACATGTCTTGTCTTTTAAACGAATGCTTGGCTCTTTTATTGTACTTACTCTGAGTCCTGCGTGAGAGGCCATGCATCAAGGACACTCGATTAAACACAGTGAGGCGGATGATGAGATTAAATGGCGCTAAGTCGTGTTAGGCGGCTGCTAGCTACTCCGTATTTATTAAGTTTGCTGCTGCTGCTGCTAATGAATTCACTCTGCCTCCACTTAGGCCTGTCTCAATGGAGATGTCACGAGAGTTCTATAGTTTTATAGGAATTAAATGTGGTGACATGTTAGAAAAACCACCGTGTTGCATGTACCGAGAAAGAGAGAGGATGATGAGATTTTGGCGCTAAGAAATGAGTCGGCGTTGTATTTATTAAGTTTGCGCGTTGGCTAATGAAACGGACTGAAACACTAAGGCCAGCCACAGTGGAGATGTCACGAGAATTAAATGAGGTGACGTGTCAGCCCATCCCACGCGGCAAGCTGCGGCCAGCGACCGGCGAGTTTGCGGCTAGGTCTGACGTCTGCGGCCTCCGTGCCCGTGGAAAATGTAAAATAGCTACGTAGTTTAATGACACAATTGATCACAACATCTGTAGAAAATAAATGTTGCAACTAGCATATGAAACAGTGAAACGGAAGTGTATAGTGAGAGAGCTTTTCATATCTACCAATACTGTCACATCTTGAAAACAGTGAGAAAAAACTACATTGAGACTGGCCTAACCACTGCATCTGTATGTGTATGTGTATGTCCATCCATATCCTCCATCAACCTGCCTCCAACACCCAACCACCTCCTGTCCAGCTCTTAACCTCCGACGGATGGCGATACCGTCGTCCATGGAAGATGATGGAATATCCACCATTCCACCGACTGAAACTTGCATGCACACCACACATCTGTCATCAGCCATCGCTAACTACTGTAGCTCACAGATCGATCGCAAGCCTATTTAAGGACCAACATTCCACTGCATATTCTCCTCACCAGCTAGCTAGCACTTGCTCGATCTCACTGCATTCCATAGAGTCCTACGAGCAGCAGCACAGCGCGCGCGCGCACACACACACTCCCAGTTACCCAGGCACACAAGAGGACTCGAGGCCGTCGACATGGCTCGCAGCGTGCAGCTTGCTGTGACGATCGCCGTCGTGGCCGCGGTGCTGCTGGCAGCGGCGACGACCTCGGAGGCCGCCGTCACGTGCGGGCAGGTGAACTCCGCCATCGGCCCCTGCCTCGCCTACGCCCGCGGCTCGGGCAGCAGCCCCTCGGCGGCCTGCTGCAGCGGCGTGAGGAGCCTCAACTCCGCCGCCCGCAGCACCGCCGACAAGCGCGCCGCCTGCAACTGCCTCAAGAGCGCCGCCGGAGCTGTCAGCGGCCTCAACGCCGGCAACGCCGCCAGCATCCCCTCCAAGTGCGGCGTCAGCATCCCCTACACCATCAGCGCCTCCATCGACTGCTCCAGGTACGTACCACCTTACGGTCCAAGTCAAGTCATCTGACTCGATCATCAAGTACGTACGTCGTTTAATTTGTGCTTCTTCCATTCCATGCAGGGTCAACTAAACCTAGCTAAACGACGACGGCCGCCTGATCGACCAACGATGATCCATTCCGCCGTCGTCGGCGCCGGAGCATATCGATCATGACTTCATGAGTACCTATCTACATCTACGCATGATGACGAGTTGTCTACTGCTACGTACTACAGTACTACTGAATAAGAATCTCTCCGTCCGTGTACGTGTGTCGTCGTGTACGCTGTGATACGCTTTGCATCGTAGCGTGTACGTCCACGTGTGTGTGTGTGTGTGTGTGAGAGAGAGAGGAGCCGTTAATGTCCTTCTGGCTGTTTGTTTTTATTTCCACATGTACGCTTCGTCGCTCCTCCGATCCGTCTCCGTACGGTTTTGGAGAGGAGACCCGGTTTGTACTATGTTCACTGCTGCTACCTTATGATACACTGCACACGCATCTTTTGGTTTGCAAACTGTGTTATGCATGCATGTGCCATATGCATGTGACTCTGTGTTCCGTGACATGACTTTCTATGCTTCGTTCACTGTATATCTGCAACATGTGTTTTACCAATTTTATTTAAGCACATATTTGAATCCCCTCCTCTAAACCTTTTAGAGCTAAAGTCTCTAAATAGGTGATTTAAAGTTAGCTCTAAACTGGACTGCGGACTCTATACCTCTCTCACAAACACTTTGGTCAGTATGCAACTGGACTCCAGACTCGAGAGGACTTGAAGATGGGACTGAGATTTAAGAAATAATAATAAAATGGTTTTAATTAACTCGCCACTTGAAAAAAAAATACTCACACGGTGGAACCGAAAACAAGTATGCCCTGATATATGACGACATGCACTAGATATAGTCTTTAAATATTTCAAAATTCATCTGAACAAATACAAAAAAAAACTAGCTAGAAAACAGCAGAGAGCTGTGTGAGACTTGGTAGCAGAAGATCTATAGTTAATATATACTAAACGCACCTATGATATATTTCCTCCATCCCAAAACTCATGTTTTGTTAGACATGGCTCTGACCAATACTTAAAATTTTGTGGTACAGAATTGATGTAACTACTAGATTTGTATTCAAAGGATTTCGCAAAAAAAAAAGATTTGTATTCAAATGTACCTATGATTTATATACATATTAATGGGGCACCTATTTGGTCAACTCATTGCTGTCCTACAAGAATGTGTTTTATATTTTCAGATGGAGGGCTCCCCTCCTGGTAAGAAGTGTTGTCACGATTGGTCCAAGCAAAGGACAAGTGGGCTGGACTGATTCTATATCAGCCCACTACGGCTAGGTGGGCTAGCCACGAGTGGTGCAGCGTCATAAATAAAAGAGTAAAGTTCATCGGTCCATAAACTTGTACCGTTGTGTCATTTCGGTTCATAAACTCGCAAATCGACCGTTTAGGTCCTCAGACTTGTTCATCTGTGTCATCTCGGTCCCTAAACTTGTTCGGCTGTCATCCCGGTCCCTAAACTTGCAAATCACCCGTTTAGGTCCTCAAACTTGTTCAGTCGTATCATCCCGGTCCCTAAACTTGGTTTTTAAGTCTCGTCTGGGTCAAAACAGGGCGATCTATAAACTTTATATAAAAAATAATTCATAACTTTTTCATATGAACTCGAATGAAGACAAACTTTACATCAAAATTGTAGCCCTCGACGCGATCTACGACTTTGTAGTTGAAAAGTTTTTGAATTCAAACTGTTTATGGTCCCAAAATATTATTGTATGTTTATAGATTTTGAAATTTGAAATTAAATTTTGGGACACTAAATGACTTCAAACAAAATCATTTAGTGTCTCAAAATTTAATTTTAAATTTTAAATTTTAAAATCTATAAACTTACAACAATATTTTGGAACTCTAAACAATTTTAATTAAAAAACTTTTTAACTGCAAAGTTGTAGATCGCTTCGAGGGCTACAATTTTAATATAAAGTTTGTCTTCATTCGAGTTCATATGAAAAAGTTATTTATTATTTTTTGATATAAAGTTTTTAGATCACTCTATTTTGACCCCAGATGAGACTCAAAACCAAGTTTAGGGACCGGGATGACACAACTGAACAAGTTTGATGAGCTAAACGGGTGATTTGCAAGTTTAGGGACCGGGATGACACAACCGAACAAGTTTAGGGATCGAGATGACACAAATGAACAAGTTTGAGGACCTAAATGGTCGATTTACGAGTTTAGGGACCGGGATGACACATCGGTAGAAGTTTAGGGACCGATGATGGACTTTACTCTAAATAAAAATACAAACGCAGTAGCAAACTAGGGAGGAGTGTGGAGGCGAGCTCACGCTCGAGGCAAGCATATGCTCTAGCTCACTACAACAAATATGGCTTTCTATGACGATTTCTCTGTGCAATACTTGTCCATCATAATTGTATAATTATCATAGCCGATTCGAAATTGTCCCCACAAGATACTAATTAACACTTACGTGCTGTTTGGTTGGTTCCAAAGTAACGGAAACGTAAATGAAATTAGTCCAAACATATATCCCGCCGGTAACGTCCGCATCTTATTTTCATTTACGTTTGCGTTACATTTCTCAGCACCAAACAGCTAGTTAATGTGATAATGACCTGTGAGGAGCCGGAGGTAAAGAGCAAAAGGGAAACTATAAAACAGGGAAGCAACTTCACCGTAAGGTGGAAATAAAGTGCCTGATTTCTCCCTTACTTTACAGTAGTTACAGTTACAGGGGTATTTATAGATGAAAATGAAGTTTGAATTACAAAACTCCAATACTCCAAAACAAATAATACATTCATTATTCTAGGCATATGAATTTTCTTCGTCCAAATATGCTAAAATCATCCAAAAAAAGCCCTACAAGTTTGTGATACTTTCAAACTTGTAATTAGTGAAAACCTCAACAAAATTTTCAAACCTTAGAGCATCTCCAAGAGTCTTTATTAAACACAATCTTTAAATTTGAAGAGCCATTTGAATAAAATCGCTCTCTACACCTTTTCTATATCTTGTGCACACTTTAAAGAGTCAATCATGTTCTCTATCTTTAGATAACGAGAAATTCGAAATAGAGGATAACAATATTTAAAGATTTAATTAAAGAAGCTATTAGAAGTTTTTTTACTAAAATATCAATTTCTATCAATAAGGAAGAATAAAGAGAGGAGTTGCTCTTGAACCAGTTAGGAATACTAGAGGTATGGATTTTACAGTGTAATGTATTTTTAACATGACGGGCCGTCATTGCTTGGCTGCTGTGAACGTGGCCCAAGTCAGCATTGCCGGTGACTGATCCGCTAGGCCGTTCGTGGACCAAGCTGCTGGACTGGTGCCACCTAAGCCGTGAGCGCCGTGCGGCCTGGCCCGCGTAACACCTGAGCGGACCGGCTTGTCACGTAGTGACACAGGAGGCCTGCTGATCGTTTGAGGATTTTTTTTTGTTTGTTTGAAAACAATCGTTTGAGGGAATTGCTTCCCCAACTCGTCGTACTTATCTCTTGAATTTCCTTTCTTTTACTTAAACCAGGTTAATTCAAGAGAATGCGCGATTCACAGTTGACATATGGGGCGGGTGATCAGTGAGCCCAAGTTACCTGTGATTACTGATTAGAGCAAGTCTTCACACTTTTGAGTTGTGAGCTGTTCTTTTGCCGTGGCCACTAGGATGTTCACTTTTTTTTGGAATGACTAAAAATATGAACTTGTTTAAAAAAAACTAAAAATATGAACTACATGTGTGGTAAAAAATCTTTAAATTACAAAAAAATATACATACATCTACTCTATAATCAACACTAATAGTCATTCAACATTCAATAATAAACAACTCAATAGTTTTCAATGGTTTATTACATTGTTTATTAAGTAAATAACACAAGGGCGAGGCATACATTATAATTAATTAGCTAGAGCCAAGAATGAATATTTGCCTAATAAGTCAGGATTAGTGGCACTAAAAAATCACAACCAAAGCCAGATAGCTATTCTTAACAAAGTTAAAGTGTCCTTAGCTTCAATAGCTCAACAATTCGTGATATTATAACATGTGTCCTCTGAAAAGCTAGAGCGCACTACCACAAAAACGGTTTTAGAAGACAACTGCTTTGTTTATACAGCCAGTCTTAAAAATATTGGTGTCTCCAAAAATAACTAAACAATTTAGAGGCGGCCGACACATTTCAGGAGATAGTATCGCCTCTCCAAAAATATTTGGCTCTATTAATAAAGCCAAGGCTCGATAAGAAAACACTAGTCCATGGCAGGCAGCAATGCACAACCCTAAGTCCCCCCATCACTCTCTCAGCCGCAGAGCTGCTCCTCTATTTGCTCTTACAAAGCCACACCCTATCCTTCCTCTCCTCTCCTCTTCATCAACTCCTTCCCTCTCTCTTCTATTCTCATATTTGGCAACGGGGTTGAGGCGCCTCACTAGAGGCGTCGGGCCCAAGCGAGATCCATGGTTTGGCGCACTGGATCCGGCGAGCCCGCCTTTCCGCATGGCGCGGAGGCAAGGTTCCCTATCCGGCGGTGGTGTGAAGTCATGACACCTCCACCGCATCTAGCAGTGTCTGTCGGCATATATATGTGGGCATGCAATGTCCTATATATCCACTTGCGCCGTGTCGCGGGCTCGGCAGCGGACCTAAAAGGTAGGCTTGGTGGCGTCCCTTTTTTTTTGGATTTACATAGACGGGTATCTGCCCGTCTCTCATTAACACATACCACTGTCACTTTAGAAACCTATTTGGACCCATCTGTTTCAATCTCTTCTATGCTAGTGAGTAGTGGCAATGCTATGCGGACTATTTAGAATCATGCAAGGAACTCGTGACTTAGTGTTGAATAAAATGACGGCCTCCACACATGATCTCTCTCATTGGACTGCTATATTTATAAATCCACCTACCCATGTAAATCTTTTAACTAGTACTCTCTCCGTTCCAAATTATAAGTCGTTTTGACTTTTTTGGTTCATCC